TAGACAATTGACAAATCACAAACAAAGCAGTGGATTTTTTTCGCAATAATAATAGTGGGACGAAAAAAAATTCACGAGTTTACATTATAATATTAATCTAATACGGGATTAGTTTATTTATTGGAGTACTATGTGGAGTATTATTTAAATTATAATATATCACTGTTCTGATTGATTATTTCAGTTTTTTTCAGTGGGCTAACGATGCAACATGTGTCTTTACATGTTGATAGTTTCATTTTTTTTAAAAATGAGCTCCATTAATTTGAATTTGTATTAAAATAAATTAATTGAATAATGATAATTGATTAGCTCCGACGCATACACTTAATGGGTATTAATTCATTTATTTTTTGGAAAGTTATACTATTATATACGATTAGAGATATATTAACCATGCTGTGTATATATATCTTTTGACTTTTATATTGTCTAATTTTTTTTTATATATTTTAATGTCTTTTAAGTTAAAATTCTACCTGCTAACAATACTCTAAAATCTCAATTCACATTTTTAATTGAGAGCAGCGAATCTCAATCATACCGTCACATTCTAATCATACTAATAATGCATGTAATCACAAGTACTTTCTAGTTCAATTAATTATTATTATGCTTTTAATGATTAGTATTTGTTTGCCCTGTCCCCCTAAGGCTTTTAGTTGTTTTTTAGAGTATAATTTATGGATCCTCCTTTTTGTTCATGTCATAAAGCAAGAAAGAAATATGGATAGTTTCATAATCATATCGACTGGATTTGGTTCACACTGTGATATGGGATACTTTTAGATTTTGTCTTGTTAGTGTTTTTGTAAAATAAAAATAGAAAGATCATCTAATAATAAATTAAATTAATGTTCCTCATTACTTTATGGTTAGATGAACTGTCACCTATTCAGATTCATTTTTTTCTTGTCCATGTTGTTTGAGCACGCGCAAGGCTTATTTTATAACGGGGTAATGCTAAATGTCAGAAAATTTTATTAGAAAATAAATAACAACTTCTTGCTTTTTCAATGTAATAAATAACAATATTTTCTCTTGTCAACAATAATTTTCTATTATTGACTTGTCAAATGAATTAAGAAATGGTAAATAATAGGAGTAGTTTTACAAAATCACCGTTATTAAATATAAGTCATTTAAACTTTGAAAAATGAATAGTATTAAATAGACACAACATGGTTAATTGTTCATTTATTTTGTAAGCTGGACAAATATTTTTGGACATTTTAAAAAAGTATAGTGGACAAATATTGGACGGGGAAGTTTTTCTTTATCTCAAATTATTTATCGTGATTTCTAAAAGTGATTATAGACTATTTTAAATTATTTGTCATTTTAGAATTTTAAGATAAAATTAAGGGATAATTTCAGATACCTCTCTTCAGGTTTCTCTCTACAACACTCACCTTCACTGTGATTTACGATATTATTCCCTTATTTCAATTTTCTTATAATCATTCTTTAAACTTATTTATAATAAATATAAATTAATCTAAATTTGACAATTTTACCATTCTTTATATGAATTTCTTCATATTAATAAATATTATATTAAAAACAATTATTTAACCAATACTTTGAAAGTGAATCAGCACAAATACATTTTTTTTTAGGAAAAATGCACAAGTACCCCCTCAACCTATGCCCGAAATCCCAGAGACACACTGATACTATACTAAGGTCCTATTACCCCCTGAACTTATTTAATAAGTAATTTTCTACCCCTTTTTAGCCTACGTGACACTAGTTTGAAAAAAAAGTCAACCATCATTGGACCCACAAGATAGTGTCACGTAGGCTTAAAAGGGATAAAAAATTATTAATAAAATAAGTTCAGGGGGTAATAGGACCTTAGTATAGTATAATTGTGTCTCTGAGATTTCGAGCATAGGTTGAGGAGGTACTTGGGCATTATCCCCCTTTTTTTTTATCAAACAAAGATCAAAATCTTCATTCAAGTTCACCCATCATTTTCACCAAATATTAACTCTTCATCTCCATTTCACCTTTATCAATTTACATATATTTTCCCCCACAATAACCCATCATTTTTCGACAACAGTTTCTTCAAATAGAAGATAAACATGAACTCCCCAAGAGAGAAATTCGAAAAGAACGATCAAAGTTTCTTTTAGTTAAACATTTCTATGAGCGAAAAAGAAACATGATCCAACGAATAGAGATAACTCGTTGAAATTAGATTGAAACTTGCATATATAATGGTAAAATTGTCAAATCTAAACTAACTTATATTTATTTTAAATACGTTTAAAGAATGATCATAATAAAATGGAAACAAAAGTGGTAGACATAGTATCTTAAATCACAGGAAAGGAGAGTGTTATAGAGTGAAACCTAGAGGGAGGTCTCCGAAGTTATTCCTAAAATTAATTATTTTTATCGTTTTATCCTTAGGAGCAATTATATATTAATCAATAGAGTAAATATTTAACGAAAAAGAGATTATAAGAATGAGATTAAAATATTTTTTTGTTCTTCCTTTTTAATTTTTTTATTTTTATTTTTTCTTATAGTATTCTCTCCATTTTTTTACTTGTCCACTATGACTTGACACACCCATTTAAAAAATAATTATTGATATATGTATCTTATCAAACTATCCCCTAGTAAACGGTGTCCTGAAAAATAAAAATTTAAAAAATAATTAAGTATTTAATGCTCAGGGTAAATGAAAAAGAATATTTTTTTTAATATATTAAAAGTAACAAGTAAAAATAAAAATTTATTTTAAGAATAAGTAACAAGTACTTTTTTGTTCATTTTACTTTGCCATACTGTTTAAGAGCAATAACTAGGACGATATTTTTAATATACCCTTTAAAATAATAATAAATTTAATGTTTTACAAAATGACTATAATTAAAGATAAAATAAAACTTAGAAACTGTAAAATAATAAATAAATTGTCATATTCTAAGGGAAGCTTTCAAAAACAGCCAACATTAATAGAATTCCTTAGCTCCAATTTCTCGATTGAGCCAGAGAGGAGAGAGGATGAATATATGTTGTATTTATATTATTTTAAATATAATCAATATAAAATATGAATTTGATTTTTCGAATATAATCGATATAGAATATAAATCTTTCTTATTTATATTTGATTTGATATGATTGATACATCATACATTTGACAAAGTGAATAAATACATATTGTATTGCATGAATTCAAATACAGTTAATATAAAATACAAATACAATTTTTCGAACACAATTTATCTAAATACAACACTCTCAATTATAATAACTAAATACAATTTATACATAATATCTTTGAATAAAGTTCTTCTTATAGGCAAGGGGGGGGGGGTCAGGAGAGAAAGAGGGAGTTTTCTGCAATAATAAATAATATATATAGTGATTTTTTATAATATTTTTAAACTATAATTGTGTTTCATAAATATATTTGACATTTTTCTTGTTGGGTAATTTTTCCATTTTTTAATATGAAAAGAAAAGTAGATATTTATTTTTCTATTGATAAAGTACACAAGTAAAAATTGACGGATGAGTAGTTACAATTTGAGAATATTGCTCTTGTCTTGATTTGTCAACTTAATTAATTTATTTTATTTTATGGTAACAACTTAATTAATTTAATTGTATGCAAAATGGGAAACTTTGTAATCATGTGACCGTTTATATGGAGATTTGATTTGAATACTAATTGATTAATTAAATCTCTTTTTCTTTAAAAAAAAACAAGAGCCTAATGATGTTATGTTACCACTAATTCAATTACAAATTCTCCACCTGTTTTGCCATTAAATGATATTTGGAACTCTATTGACGTGGACGAACGTTTCTCACTAAATTACCTAATTTTTTATTGTCAAAATCATAACCAATCAAATGCTTTTACATGACTTTTGCTTTATACCAACAACCTCCCAACTTTGTCTTTTGGTAACCATATCACATATCATGTTTATTGGTCTACGTATTAACAAACATAATAAATATATATATAATTCTGATAAAAAATAATATAAATTAAAAAACTAAAATCACTATTTGCTAAAGAAAATGAAACTCTTTTGTTCACTAGTGATAATGAAAATAGTTTAAGTGATTTTGTAGATAACGATCCATGTTAAATGACTAGTTTTGATCATGGTTATAGTATTGAAAGGTTGGGGTACTTAGAGTTGTAGTCATTGGTGGTGATGATGTTAATTAATATGTGATAATTTTAATAATAAAATTGATTGATATTATTAATTAGCGATGTTGATTGTTATTAGTGGCTAAAAAATGTGTGGTGCATATTGGTTAATGATGTGTGTTGTATTTGGCCGCGATATAGATGTTGATGGTGAAAGTGGCAGATGTTAGAAATAGATCATAGTGATGGTACTAGCTGATATTAATAGCGATGGTAGTAGTAGTTGTGACAGTGACAATGCGTGTGTATATATATATATATAATATCATAATGATAGAGGAGATAAGTGTGATAACGAAAAACAATAGCAACTGATTAACAATGATGATAGTTATCAATAACAATTGTAAATATAAATGGTTGACGGTGGAGGCCGGTGGTCGGCAATAATAAGGGTGGTCAGAAATGCGGTGATAATTGATACAATTAACCGTGATAGTTGATAATTACAGAGAAAGTAATAATAAAAATTATTTTAAAAAATATCTTTTAACAATATTATTATTTATTTAACTTTTTAGTGATTAGGACTCGTTCGGATCAAATAAATATTCAAATTACTAATATAAATCTATACCTTTAATATTTTAAAGCCTAATCCATTCAAATAACATGCCTTAATAAGTTAGTTGTTTTAAAGGGATCATATTATTAAAATGTGTAGAATCTTATTTGTTTAGCAATATTCAACATCTAGACGCGTGGTTCCATTAGATTCATACAAGTGGACCGTCCTAAAGCTATAATTATTAATTCAAAGTTTCATTTGATTAATGCATATAATAATATTTACTTGCCAAGATATTTTCCTTACTTTAGGGTAGCTAGCCAAGATATTTTCAAGCAAATCCTTTTTTCACAAACTTCTAAATATTACTACCATACTATGTAAAGAATTTTCAAATCGAACAAAAAAAAAAACATGTGATGGGTAGGACAGTTAAAACAAATTTCTAGACTTCATTAACATTTGGTAAAAAATTCAATAATTTTTATTCATATTATATTTTCTTTTACATAATTAAATTAATTAAATTTCAAAATAAATATCAAAAATATAAAAAAGAAAAAAACCAGAATCAAGGCTTAAAAGAATAACATGAGAATTGTTTCACTCACAAAGATTTTTTTTTTTTATGATTTTTAATATGGTATCTGATACTTATATTGAAGTTCAAACAATTTCGATCAAGAAGGAAGAAGGATTAAAAATATCTAGAATATCATCCCACTTAATAGTAAAAGAATGTATAAAATATTCATTGAACCCTCACTATACTTCCTTTTTAGTTCTCATTACTCTCTTGCTAATATACCTCCAATATTGCAAACATATTAATTTGTCCTAATTCTTTCTCCCTCTTACCCATACTCCAAATTAATATTAACCCTATCTTTTCTCATATATCCACAAACTCCTTTATTACCTTTGCCAAGATCCTCTATCTTCTTAACTTTGACATTGACTCAAAAATATTGTTATACTCATCTTTGTTGAAGAATCAAAGCATGGATCATTTTGGTAATTTAATAAAAGAAGAGTTTGATGGATCATTTTTGACGCCTCAACCGAAGGAGTGTCTTCATGAGAATGGACCTCCACCATTTCTTACAAAAACATATGAACTTGTGGATGATCCAAGTAACAACGACGTCGTTTCTTGGAGTAGAGGTTACAATAGTTTCATAGTATGGGATCCCCAGAATTTGGCCATTAATTTTCTACCAAGGTATTTCAAGCATAACAATTTCTCAAGCTTTGTCAGGCAGCTCAATACTTATGTAAGCATTATTTTCATTTTCTACCTATATATATATATATATATATATATATTATGAG